AAAGCATATGCACTGGTAGACAATGAACAACGCATGAAACATGGTTCCAAAAGTAAGCTATACCTCACAATTTTACAGAAATCGCTTCAGTAAATACATTAACATCCCTTGCTACCTCTTTTATACAGCTGCTAAAATATGTGCTATACATATGACTACATGCGGTGTGCTGGGGTTCAAATGCAGCGGCTGACACCTGATCAAAAACGTGAATGGGTAACAGCTGCCCCTGTAAACAGGAGATTAGGGATTTCTGCTGCAGGAAATCGCAAGTTCCTGATGCAGAAATCTCTTCACAGGTGTGAATTGGGCTTAAGTGTTTCCCTAAGATGAGCAGAAATAGGCACTGTACGCTTTCTCTGCAACAACTCCACAGTTTATAAAACAAAGCAACACATGCAAAATGTATGAATTTAGAGCCCCTGTAGAAAAAAAAAGGGAAAACAACTGTGAGTAACTCAAAAGACTGAAAATGCAGCGTTTCTCTAAAGTGATATTTAAACGGTGTAGTACGGGGCGCTGTAATTTAAATTAAGTGAAAGTAACAATTGCTTGCATTGATTCAACTAGATCACATACAACTACATGACAGTAAAAAATGAGCTTAGAAGACATATTTTGCATAACTAGCTTTAGCGAGAAAAATTAGATGAGGAGAATGCAATATGTTTTTGAAACATTCTTTAAAAATGAATTATAGCCACATTATGATAGAAGCACATTTTTTGACTCCTTTGATTAATGAGTATTCAGCCTTGCGTAGAATAACATGAACAAACATTAAAATGGCCACTGCTGGTATCCTTGTACCAAATTGTCAAGCTTATTTGAATGTCACCATAGCAGGGTGTGAGAACAGAGCAGCTGCAGAGAATATCATACATTCGCTGATTTCAAACTCATTTGATTGCTTTTTTAAAAATTTAAGGTAGCAAAGTAATCATTAAAAAAAATGCAAAAATGATTACAGTTAGGAAAGCAGTGATGCAAACAGACTATTAAAAAAACTCTGGAAACAGGTACAAAAAGGTGACAAAAATAGGGCATAATCTAAAATCCATTATTGCATTACCACCTTGCAAGCTCATGAAAAGAGAATCTTACTGAATAGAGCAATCAGTTGTTGAGAACAGCAAAAGAAGATGTAAAGATTAAAAAATAATGGACAGGTAAGTGGTAAGATCAACAAAGGAGATAAATATTTACCATACAACGGCAGAAGCCTGATAAAATATGCAGACTGTGAGTAATGCCAACAGTTTGATAGATATAATCTAGCCTGAAATGGTAAAGCGCTTAATTGTTTTACTCTACAACTGTCTTTGGTCTGATGAGATAAATGTCCAAACAGTGGGGATAAAACTTGCTGTAAACATCTATGGTGTGTGAAGAGCACTGGACCATGAAAAATCCACATTTCTCCCTATGTAGGCCTAATAATCTATTAAAAAAAGGGCTGTGTCCAGAAAGGAACTAGATATGGCACAGAGTGAAATTAGGGTGGTTAGCTCTGCTTCTCATTGTCACAGGTCGGCTAGAACTTTGAGGTGAGTGGAAATCACTCATCTCATAGTTCTCCTTTAATGTTTTCCATTCTCTGCTGAGAGATGCTCAATGCACACTAAAGAAATCACACACACATACACTATATTACCAAAAGTATTGGGACACCCCTCCAAATAATTGGATTTAGGTGTTCCGTGAAATTCCCTTGCTACTAAATATTCCGCGGTCAGCTGTTAGTGGTATTATAACAAAGTGGAAGCAACTTGGAACAACAGCAACTAAGCCATGAAGGGATAGGCCACATAAAATCACAGAGTGGGGTCGGCGCATGCTGAAGCGCACAGTGCGCAGAAGTCGCCAACTGTCTGCACAGTCAATAGCTACAGACCTCCAAACTTCGTGCAGCCTTCAGATTGGCACAACACCAGTCCGTAGAGAGCTTCATAGAATGGGTTTCCATGGCCGAGCAGCTGCATCCAAGCCTTACATCACCAAGTGCAATGCAAAGCGTGGGATGCAGTGGTGTAAAGCACGCCGCCACTGGACTCTAGAGAAGTGGAGACGTGGTCTCTGGAGTGACGAATCACACTTCTCTGTCTGGCAATCCAATGGACGTGTCTGGGTTGGGCGGTTACCAGGAGAACTTGCCTGACTGCATTGTGCCAAGTGTAAAGTTTGGTGGAGGGGGGATTTTGGTGTGGGGTTGTTTTTCAGGGGTTGAGCTTGGCCCCTTTGTTCCAGTGAAGGGAACTCTTTAAGCATCAGCATGCCAAGACATTTTGGACAATTTCAT